GACGATGTGGGTGAGGGTTAGTGTGGGTCTTATCTATATCAACGAACATAGCAACAATCACACCTATCTAAACCCACATCCAAACCCAGCATTTATCCATACCTACAGCCTCTATTTTTTGTCGTCGATGTTCGCTGGTGAGAGCTATGGATAACTTCCATATTTACCGAATTTTGTTTTTACTGGCGATTTTTTCCACCGACTCCGATATCGTCAAATGAATTTATGTCCGAAAAAGAGTCTGGAGAACATATGACCTGTTTCATACGTGGCGTTTTATTTTAATTAACTAGTTTATTACTAAGTTGTTTAATTAGCAAGACCATTAAATGTATTGTCTAGTCAACAAAGAAAATCTGTGCCATCAGAAGAATGTTCAATATGTTTTCATTTTTACCCAAAAGATTTGTGACGGTGAGGATGCTATACACGCTGTCACTCTGAACTTTTCATCCATCTTGATCGATTCTCGTTTTCAAGATTCTGCAACAAAATGTAGAGATTAAACTATCATCACAAGTCTTTAGGATAAAAATGAAGGCAGATTCAATATCATTTTGGTAAGCATACTGACTTGATAATCAATCACTATAATAACGAACTAGTTACTTAGAATAAAATTTCATACATAGAACTGATCATATTTGATCCAGACTATTTTTTGGTCATAAATTCATTTGGTGATATTGAAATTGGCGAAAACTTCGTAGGCGAAAATAAAATTTGATGACAATGGTCTAACTTAGAGCTCTGCATTTGTTTTTCCACTAAGAATACTATCTATTGATAAAAGAGATCTGCATTATAGCAGAGGGAATTTTCCAACTTTTGACATGATGTGATATGAAGGACAGAACAAGATGGATGGGTCTGAGATGGATGAGAAATTATTTGCGTTTTCGCTAGAAAATGACAGTACGAGCTATTTTTTCAGCGTAGAAATAGACATCGTTGGTATTTTCCTACTCTTATGACTCATACTATCATTTTCTGGTGAAACGCAGATGATTTTTTATTCATGTCAGATCAATTCATCTTGTTCTGTCCGTCCTATCACGTCATGTCAAAAGTTGGAAAAATCTCTTCCGCTATGATGTAGATATCTGTTTCTCAGTAGATAATATTCCTAGTGGAAGCGACTTTCGGTATAAATACGCAAAGAACGTCCAATGACTTCATTCGTCGCTTCAACATTACTACAGACCACTTCAACCAAGTAAATCAAGGTAGAGGACAAGTAATCATGTTTTTTTATTGTATTTTCTGCTTGGATAGTTTTCGTCGAGTACAACAGAAGCAGACATCGAAACATATATAGCTTACTTGGACGAAGGTAAAGATCATTTTGAACTTTTGCTATTTTTGAAAGCAGCAATTTTCATTTGAATTTCAGATTTCATCATTGGATGCCATTGACATAATACATTACCGTTTTAAAATACTGTTTTCAAATCGGAACACCAGCAGTGTACGCTATTATTCAAGTTGAAGGAATCATCCATTATCTTGCTGGGCCCATCCTCATAAAACTTGAAGGCCATGCTTGTCGTACAACTCATCTGTCTGCTACTATTCATTTTATGCAATGAAGCACTTCCTACTGTGAGTGCCAGTAACAATCCAGATGCAAAAGAAGTATCAGCTGACCAGGCATTAGCTATGTTAAAGGAACAAGGCAAACAGAGTCACGCTACCGCTGTTGACAGCAACCAAGTTTTTGCGATTGTCGATTACGAGGGTACTCAAATCTATATTTACAGTTCGCTTTCAAATGATAAAGAAAACCAACACACGCCTCAAAAATGGGTCTTCTACTATGTACCTGTAGTGCTGCCAGACGTAACAGTCAATCAACAACAACCGTGGGCATTGGCTATTGGAAACGAGATAAGAGTCAGAACGATTTTAGGCAACAATGAAGTTCAAAGATTGGCAAGAGAAGCGATTGCCAGAAAGTATGATGCTACGATATCACAATTTGCTCCATTCTGGAATGTAGCACCATTGATGATTGATTCACTTATGGGCTATATTGTTCACGGCTCCAATACACCTGTCGAGGGCGTGTATCCTTACAGAGCTGTGCATTCGAATCAGTTGGCAATAACATTACGTTTTCGTTGTTCATCGAAAGAAAGTGCAAAGGAAATCGTTAACAGAATTATTGATGGTGATTATGAAATAGAAGTCGGATTTTACTTTGCTGGTTTTCGACAAGTCTCCACGAATCTGATCTCGATTACGGGTGACCAATTGAGAAATGTGGCGAGCAAAACGATTGCTGATGGCAAAAACACAAATGCACAATACATTCATCGCAATCAAGGTGCTTTGTTCGTGGCAAAATATATGACTAATGTGAGAAAAATGATCTACATGGAACGTGAACAGTTACCACTTTCAGAAATGACTGCAGACCTCCAGGATCAATTCACATCATTGATGCAACAAGGTAAAATATATTCAAATGTGTTTCTTCGACAGTAATAGCTAGTTTGGATGAATTGGTCCTTCATTCGAAACTATGCAGTATTGGTTAATTGACTAGCACAAGAAAGATTTCAAGCAAATAAGTAGCATTAGTGATTGACATCGTATTAATAGGATTTTCGATTGTATTGAGTTTATGCAACAGTTAAAGATAAAAGAAAGGTGTGTACGCTAAATAATTATTTTATTCATTATCTCGAATACGTATTATCATGGTACAAATTATACATTTAGAAGAGGTTGTCAATTCATTGATGATTATTCATGATAGTAGAAGTCTGTTGAAATTAATTAAGCTAGTTTTGACAGATATAGTGTGTAAAGTTAAAATTAGTGACACTTTTGGGAATGTTTTCGATCGTCACATTTCATTTTGACTTAATCATAAACTGTCGATTTTTCGTTGGGTGCTGTACATAGGGAAAAAATCTAATCTACATACTCGAAAGTAAGTGTGCGATATATCTAGTATTCTCAATGTGAGTGTGAAATGTAGTTAATATCATAACATACCCATCTTTGAATTCATCATGATTGACAAACCTCATTGATAATGGTATGATCTTCGAAACCTAGACGTTTTCGTGTCAAACTTGTGAACAAACAATGGATGAACGAGATAGCTGTTCTTAACACTGTTATATTCGATAATTCATTTGAGAGAGACCACCATGATGTTTCATTCATGACACCCACTGTTTGATTATGATTCAATGTAGCACTTCACAAAATTGTTCATCATTATGAGAACTATGACAACACTTCAGTGTGAATAGCTAATAAATGATTCTGCTGCGGCTTTAATGATGATTTTGTAATCTTTTTGCCGCACTCCTTTGAAATTATTAGATAAATCTAATTGATAAACCATCATTTATTGATTGAAATGTGCTTCGGCATGATTCAAAGTGATTGGCATAACATCCATCGATTTTATGAATCCCTATCGAAGTTCACTAATCTTCTTTAGAACATTCGATCGAGCAAAATGTCCCAAAAATTGTTCTTCTATGTTCCGAATGCAGTCCTCCTAAAGACGGCTGTTTCTATAGATACACATTATCCAACCACTTCTCTACATATACGCAATCGATGCAGCTTTTAGCTTATGAAATTGTTCAATCATTTGCCAAATTCAAACAAGACTTAACTTGAATTTTACCATATGATTAATAGAACTCGGCCCTTCAAAACATCTTTCTGATTGAAAAATGATTTTTACATTCGTCTCTCTTTTTTGTTTATTAGCACTTGATAATTCGAAAGAAGAAAAAATCGACATCAATCTTTACCAACAAATATGGGCATCAAAAGACCTAAATCCGGATTTGATAACTCATGAAATCAACAAAATATTTACTTACAATAAAACAGCAACTGAAATGCAAAGGAACAAAAAAAACTATTACGATCGAAAGCAAGATAGCTCAAAGTCAAATTTCGACCAATTTGGTGCTGGATTGAAGGATTTCAACTTAGAGTATGAATCATCTAGAGCCTCATTATATTCGACCACAGAGTCAAACAAAAATGTATATTCAGAAACAGATGTTAAAGATTTGTTTCATGATCACAAAGTGGAAGTTGAGTGGTCCGGAGAAAAATGGATACCCAAATCGTTGTATGTACATAGACTCACTGATATCATCAATTATCTTCAAGTGGGCATCATTGCGAAACAACGTGCCGTCCATAAAACCAGTGGAGCAATTATTCGTACATATAGTGCAATAAACATACCGAGTAAGTAGCCAGCATGGTCCTCCTCCTAGCTTTCATCTGTCAGTCTGCTCCATAGATGTTGAGGATGCGATTTTTAAAAATTCTGTTTATACTCTGATGATACTTCAACAAGTTTTGATGTATTGATTTACTTGCATCATACAAAAGGAAGACATAGAGTTTAACTTGTCTTTTACTGTAGAACCCAAGATAAAAACTACAATTCTCTATGTAGCATACGCATTAGCACAATTTAATTATTAGAAAATGTCTATTGATGTCAATCTGTTCTTTTTCGATCATTTTTACTTCCACAAATCATTCGACTTATTATATTATTGTGAGTCTGATGTGCAAACAGACGTTGATGTAAATATCAATTCTATATGATTCTTACTCTATTTTAATTTATGTGCACTACAACTGAGAAAAACAAGAAATGGAGGAAATACTACTCATTCACTCGTACTTTATATGAAAGGAAATGAATTTTATATTTTTTGCTAACTGGTACAGTTTATGTATTCTAAACATTGATTGTTTCTCAGTGACAATCAAGATATCACATGATATAGAGGATCTATGTACGAAATTTATTGAAGATACAGTAGACTTCAAGATCCATTGAAATTCTTGTTCCACACAAAGGATTCTAACTACAGACTTTCAAATTATTAGAAACAGCTGCATTTAGAGGTCGTGAGTGTAGACGTGAATGAAGCAAACTACATGCTTCTTCATGTTCAATAATTCTAATAGACCGTTGATGACTGTAAACAATTTTAGGTATGGGCGCCGGTTCGCTATCGACATTATTCCCTGGAGAAATACGTTTGTACGCCTCGGCCACTACAGATCCACCTATCGGTTGGCTTAAATGCGATGGTTCAAGAGTGCCACGTGCTACCTATTCACGTCTCTTTAATGTGATAGGGACAACTTATGATGTGGACAATACTAACTCGACTAGTTTTCAACTGCCTGATCTCCGAGGTCGTGCTGCGATAGGACAAGATCCGTTTGGAATTCGAGCACACCATGCTTCCAAAATTGGTGCTACAGGTGGTCATGTGAAACATACTCTAACAAACGATCAACTACCAGTACATTATCATGCATCCGGATCCCTGACGATCGGTTCGGGTGGGACGCACATGCACGGCATTGATGACCCAGGGCATACACACGAAGCAACAGTTTATCACTCCGGAAACTTCTCCAAAGAACTGCATCTCAAGACGTATAATGGATTGAGTGTCTGGAGCCAAGGCAAAGTTAAAGTTCATCGCAGTACTACAGGCATCACAGTAAATGCGGCCGGTGATCATGCACACACATTGGCCGGAAGCACAGGTGCAACAGGAAATGGAGAGTCATTTTCTCAGCTCAATCCATACCAAACATTGGATTATATCATATATGCTGGTTAAAAACTGAAACAATATGCCGCGACACATTCCATGCCTGAAAAGTTGTGGTCAATCTGAACGCTGCCTATATCCGAGTGACAGAATGTGGGCATAAAATTCATGACGTATTTTATGGTGCGTCATTATCTACTCTCACATGCTGATTTCATTTATAGTTTATGCATGCTTTTTTAATTTTGCTTTATCATCCCTTGTCACCTCTCTTGTCGCATAATTATGAATCGCTAATTGTTCTATCGCTCACTTCTTTTTTTAATGTCCTTGACAAGCATAAATTTCATCAGATGACTTTACCATAAGAATAAATAATTTATTATCCATTTCAACATAGAATATGCTCTACTGTTTTTTGAATAACTCATGAATGCTAGCAGCTAGAGACCTGCGGTTTTCATCAATCGATAGAAGCCTTAATGGCACGCATACCTATGAGGGAATCACGATTCGATCGTACTGTTAAGGTATTATATTTTCTAAATCTTTTCAATATTCGAATATAAAGCTATGACACCTAAATAGTTTTTAAATTCTTCTAGCATAGAGAGATAGACTGACCTGTCATCTACCAATCCACCAAAGCCCCACTTTGATATCTTCTATGGCTCAAGAGATATTCTCTTTTTACTAAAGTCTAGTCATCTCCTTATTTTGTAGTTTGAGTTATTAAAAAGCGGTATCAGTAGAGTTAATTATCTACAGTAGATCGTGCAGAAATGGTTTTTTGTGTGAAGGACACTATTGCACACAGAAAGATTGATAGCGTTGTATATGAAAACTTGGTCCTACGTTGCTATTCACAGTGAAATTTATTCAGATGTGCTTTTATCACTTGCAATACGATGTGAAAATAAGAGCTTTAGAACAGAAATAAAGATGGACCAAAATCTTACACAAAAATAATCAAAACGACGACTGCTGGCTTTAGATGTTTCAATTTCTACCTACTATTCAAAAAAAGTAGAAGAAGAAGAAGAATACAAGAGAAACACTTTCATGCATCTGAACAGTCATCGCTATCTGAGTTTTCTGAATTATCAAGTGATACGCCATTAATATTATCATCATCGGTCTGATCAAGCGTTGCTTCAACCACTTCTTGAACATATTTATCCGCTGCTTTAAATGTATCTTCATATCTTTTGACATGTCGAAAATAACTTGTTGATAACGGTTCGTCAACAGCTGCTAGATATTCCACTGTCAAATTATGAATGTCCACGCATCGAAAATTCGTATTATTATTACGTATGTAATTCTGTAGTCCAGCCCAAGCGAATTCAATTGAGCTCAACACACTGTGCCTAACTAGTAACGTAAGATTTCCACACCAGATTGTGTAGCAGCTTCATAAGCCTTCAAAAAAAGTATATCACACCGGTGCATATTGTTTTAATATTATTCACTTTATACCGTCGTGGAGAAGCGAATAGAGCAACTATTTGAAGTAATTCAACTGTTGTTAAAGATGATTCATATTCCATATTATGTTGATTCAGTCAATTTTCAATCGTCTCTTTTCTCGATGTTCTTGTTGGCAGTTTCGATTCATCCGTTTGTTGAATATCTCACGGAGCATTGTCCATGATAAGACATATATGTGAAACTGTACCTATAAAATAGCGATTCGAAACAGGGTCAATTAGAAGTTTGAACAGGACATTGAGTACCATATTCTTTTCTTAGTTTGAAACAAGTTTTCATTATCCAATTAATAAAACGAGATCTATCCATAATATGCTCACTGTCACATATGAATATATCCTATGAATCAAGATGAAATCACATCTCATTGATGATTTCACTTATCGCTAATCGTTTACCTGGAAAAGATTGATTTATCAGTACCTTATGAGATAGGTATAATCATCTCTTTAATCTTACGTTTAGTATCCAACTTTTTCAGTTGTCCACTGCAGTCCTCGGCTATCAAAATATTTCTATTTTCATCACCAACTATACTTCATGTTTCATCGTAATAAAATATTATCACATAATTCTCACGGAGTTCATTTAACATCCGGAAGTATTTTGCACGAGCAGCAAAGAAAAATATATCGTCTAAAGGGATGATCACTTTAGACACCTTTTTATGCACAAATCCAAGCTGGAATAAAACAAAAACTTTTATGCCTTTAACTCTCATTGATTCGATGTATTCATACGCGTTTCATATGTCTCTACAACGTTGTTTCTGATATTATCGAAGAATCAGGACGATTCTATTTTAAGTATGACAATAATTTAGATGTTGTTAGATATACTTTTTTCGATAGTATGATATGGAATTGAAGTCTTACCGTATCTTCTGCATATTTACTCAAATTAATAATCTTCTTTCCCCTATATCCTTTTTTTCCTCGGAGAAAATGGTGCTGGAACATTAGCATTTGTTCTTGAGGATGTGAGTGCTGATGCAGTTAAGACTAGTACCATCACCCCGTTCACACCTTACTAATAATAATTAAGGTTTTCCCCATAGAATGAGAAAGTGTTGGCTTGGTAAATTAGCTAGACGAGGTGTAGAAGAACAGAACAGAAAAACGTTTTGGAGCCATCAATAATAATGTATACATGTGACGATATCTCCAGTTTGAACTCTATCTCAACAAATTCATCTCATATGTAATTTATACTGGGGCCGTCTACGGGTGACTTCGATCTAACTGATTCACTATAGATATCTCTTCTATTTTCTATTAAACGATAACTATTTATAGGTGAACCAACTAGGAAAAAGCCTAAGGCGCTTGGAAAAAAGACAATGATGAGAAGGAAAATACCAACTCTATCTCAAAAGAATAGGCGAAGAGGAAAAGATAGAAAAAAGACATGTATATCGTACGTGTCATCTATGTACGATAGAAGAACAAAAGAAAGAAAAAGGAAAATACCGCATATAACTAATTCATCCAATAACAGGGATGTGTTTGTCAACGCAGGAAATAAGAAATTGTTGTTGATTTATAGGACTCCGTCAGTAATGGAATCTTCCCTCAGAAAGGGAATATTTCCTCAAAAAGGGAACATTCCTATCACATATTAAGATAATCTATATACATATATATAGGATCCTACAATGCAAAGACTTGTATTACTTATGTAATATAATATTTTTGGACAAGTACTTCTACATGAATATGCTTGAAATGCCAATGAGGCTCCTGTTTTATTATGTAATATCATTATTGGTATTATCATTTTTAAGCCAAGTGAACGGCCATGTAATTGATGAATATGGTAAGTTTTAGTATTTATCATTAAATAGTGAGCCAAAACTTTTCATATTTCCTAAAAAAATTTCTTTTTCTCCATTATTACAAATCTTAAAATGCTTAACACTGAGCATATAGTCCCTCATAACGTGGTAATATTGTCCAAAATTTTATAACTTTAGATTTAGTCATCGGAAAGATATATATAAACTCAAACTATAGTGAAAATTTTTTCCAACGTACAGCGTTTATAAATTTATATACAGTCAACAAGAGCCGTAGACCTTGAAAGAGATATTTGGTAGACATCTAATTCATAGTTCATTGTAATTCTCTTCAACGTCACTCTTTTTAATATTTCTTCATTATAATGGCCTCCTTTTCCTTTTTTTCTCCAGCTTTTCTATAAATACTTGATGTTTAAATTTGATTACGTTATTCGAAAGGAACCTTTTCTTTCGTTCGAGTTTATATATCTTTCTTATAACTAGACCGCGAGTTATGAATATCAAGGATAATGTTCACATTGTTACGAGAGACTGCATATCTAATTAGAACATTTCTAGGTTTCTACTAAGAAAAAAAAAGAAATTTTTTATGAAGTATCAAAAATTTTGTCCCGCACTTTAAGCACGTCAATGTATTCGACACAAAATGAGAGCGTCGAGCTAGAGTATAAGTGTGTATTAGAAGTGAATATCACAGTTATACCCATACCAATTTACACTCAAGATGTATAACTCTGTACGAAGTATTGTCTATAAGTAATCTAAAACGAATTTGTGAGATTCTGTTAACTAGAAGGGTGTGGGTGTGTGACTGTTGTTGTTTTCTTTAACTTCACTTCCTTTAAAAAACTCCATTTTCATCAAAATCATCGAAATCAATATAAATACACGGGGGGGGGGATAGATTGAGATTTGGTCTTTCGGAAGTAGTATAATTTTTCAATTGATATGCCCTTTTCTCAAAATTGTTTCATGATTTCCGTTGAAGAATATATAATTTTCAGATGATACGAAAAATGTTTTTCGTTTCTTCTCAGTTTGTGTTTTTTGATTACGCAACCCTAAATTCTCTGTGAGCCTTCATTCTATCTACCGATTTTTTGTTTGCAACAACATGCCAAAACGTACGGCATCACAGAATCATTTTCTAAATTAACCGTTGATTTTATTATATCAAAAAAGCGCTTTTATAATTAGAGCAATGCTTTTAGATAGTTTTTGAGGCGTTGAATTAGTGACTTCTTTTCTTCGCTTCAAAAAGTAAGAATTTATAAATAAAGGACTCTGTAGTGCTCTGCATTCTGACATGGTCTTTCAAAAAAAGAGAATTTAGATATATATAGAATAAGCCTGGACAGAGACACTTGGCTTACCCAGTCAGTCATTTTTGACCCTGGTTTGATGAATATCTGGTTTAAATGTCATGGTATGGAGCTGAAAGTTTTACCGTTGCTTCTTCACTGCAATCTCAACATATCCTGAAAGTTTCATGCGACTCGGATATATATGGTCCGAGGTCTATTTTTGAAGGGAAGAGAGTCTTTAATATCTATACTTGCAACCCTCACTCGCACGTTCTTATCTACACCCAACCGAATGTAATATAGTGAATAAATACTGTCCAACTATTTCTAGTAAATACGAGGCTCAAATTTTTTTTCATTAATCTACTATGATTTGGATCAGATTTTTAAAAATATTTAGTAAGTTGTCGCATTCAGGTACGAAGTGGAAAATGGTAAACCATTATATCAGGAGAACGTATAAAAAATAACGTTAT